CATGAATCATGACTTTCATCATCCGCTTTAGGTGAAATATCGGGTGTAGTGTCATGCCCTCCTTTGTCTTGTAATCTATCTTCAACATCCAATCAATTTTTAAAGCAAATACACATTTCTATACTTCCACCATTCATACAACTTCTCTTGTTGTCCAACACCCTAGTACCTGCACTAAAACAAGACTCTGATGGAACTGTAGACATTTGAGGGGTTAGTAGATCATGTGCCATGGCGGCGAGAACCAGATAATTTTTTGAATGTTCATTCCACCAGGCTAAAATATCAAAATTATTTGTTACCTCACCTAAAGAAGATGCAACTGTACAACTTGTAGAATTATTTCCTATTACTTTAGATTCATACAAACTATACATTTCAAATAATAAGTTATTAATTTCTTCTTTTTTATTTGCAATTTCAATATTCATATTTTCTCAATATGTTTCAAGTAAAATATCTAAACCATCTTTCCTAATCGTAGGATCTAATATTGTAGCTAAGCAATAAAGAGGAGAAATGCTCTCCCAATATTTTTTAAATTTATTTTCCATTATTTCAACAATACTTTTAAATTATGGATTATTTCTATATTTTGCAAAACAATCACTAATCACCACAACTAGTTGGATAATAAATACCCGATAATTCATTAATTGCATCAACAAATGTTTTAAAAAATCTCTTATACAAATTGTCATTTCCCAATTTTCCTCAAATATAATATTATTAGGCATTTTTGCATCATAAAAATCAGTAAGAATTTATTTATGAGAAATACAACTTTCTAACATAGCATAGGTAGAATTCATCTATGTTTAACATCGAATAAAATGTTTATATTTTAAACCATAATTTTCTTGATCCAGAACTTTTAATATATATAATACAATTTCTAATTTTAGAAATATGAGTAGAAATAATATTTAAAGCATCATGAATACATAAATTTAAAATGTGACATGCACATCTGATATGAAATAATTTACCATTTAAACATGATTTTAATTGAGGTTTTAAAATATTTATTGTAGAATCATTATTACTAGCATTATCAAAACTAATAGAAGATAATTTATTCTCAATTCCATAAGCATATAAAGTATTTAAAATGCTTGCCGCAATAGTTAGGCCAGTATATGGCCATTCAAGCCTAGTAAAACTTAAAATTCTTTTATTTAAAAGTCATTTTTCATCAATAAAATGACGGGTAATTGCATTTTACTAATTAAATCTGGAAGTTCAAACATTAGAAGTAATTGCAACTTTAGAATTAAGATTTGATAACATATAAATTAAATTTTGTTTATATGAATAAAAAAATTTTAAAGCATCTGATCTAATAGTATTCCTAAAAACTTTTTTATATTGTGGATTTAGAATTATGTAACCATTTTTCAAGTTTAGTATCTTGAGCTAACAAAAATGGTTGTTCACCATGTACCATGTATTTTGCTAATTCTTGTCTCATTTTTCTTGAGAATATTTAAATGTACCAAAACCCCCTGTCCAATTTGTGTTTGTGTTGTTTCTCTCCCTTCTTCTTCTTCTTCTTCTTCTTTCTCATGGTTGAGCAAATGTCTGCCCAAATGGCCGGTGCCACTCTTGTTACAATAGCTAAAGTCTTTTCTCCATTTTTGGAAAACAACTCTTTTTCCCTACCCCTCAACCTCCTCTACTTTAAATATTTTCCAAACGGGGCTAACCAACTTWGTGTCCGTCTTTGTCTTTTCCCTAGTATCAGTACTAGGGGTGGAAGTTCCATCAATACCAATAGCATCCATATCGGTGCTAACACTATCATGATACGACTGAATATCATCAACATTGAACATGTTGGGGAATTGGTTTTGGGAGGAACTGGCCATTTTTTTTAAATTCTAAAAAAAATAAAAATTAATTTAATTAGACTTATCTGGATTGTTGGTTCGGAATCCCAACTTGATTTCAATGGTTGAAGCCTTTCAACTCCAAGAGTCCAAGCCTCCCAAATTGCTAGTTAACTTGAGATACTTGAGCTGGTTGAGTAAAGCAAGCCTTCTTCTTATTGAAACTTCAATAAAGTTGAGCATTGGAGAATTAGTCAATCAGAGTTTAGATCACTTCAGACTTAAGAGAATGTATGAGAGAAGAGATTAAGAGAATTGTGGAACTGGTGTGATGAGAATGGTGGAAGGTAGGGCTATTTATAGGAATTGAAAATAATTCAATTGCCCAAAATACCCTAAAAACTAGCCACTTTTTAGTTGTTGGGAGGGGTATTTTGGTCATTATAAAGGTATTTATCATTTTACCCAAAATTCCCTCCTAAAATAGCTGTTGGGGGGCATTTGTGTTATTTTTTCTCCTCCCCATAACCAAAATACATAAATACCCCCCTATATAGCTGTTTATAGCTGTTGCGGGTATTTCTATAAAAAAACCCCCAAAAAGCTGAAACTAGCTGTTGGGGGGGGGGGGTCCCCAACGGCTAGTTCTCGGGTGGGCCACGCTACGGGCCCATAAGTCGTGCCGACCCATGGACTTCGAACTCCAGGCCCAGCACGACCCACACGGTCATGCCGCGCCTAGCACGACCCAATTTACACCTCTACGTGCATGATAATCAACCAACAGTAATATGTTTATGAAACATATGTTTTATGAACTTTTATGCTTTGTGAGACTTCAATGAGCACTCATAACTTATATTTTCACCTTTCAATCAACCAAAGTCATATTTTCTGGCATCTAATTACTTAGCATAAAAACAATTAATATCATCTGGTGATCTCTAATGCATAGTTGGGCTCAGGGATGATATGGATTTGGGTGATGAAGATAAGCCAATGCACAATTCCCTTGGATCATCTTGATTGATTACATTATCTCTTCATGTGTGTCCCCAAAAAAGCTTACGTTATGTTTGTTTGCAGTGCAAATTTTATTTTGTACCGGTGCAAATGTATGAAAATGCAAATGGGTTGAATGCAGATTCTGGTTTGCCTTAGTTTTATGCTTTACATTGTTTTGCTTTTGTTTGGAAGGAGCAAAATTGGAAATAAGATAATGGTCCCCTCTTTATGTAAGCGAAAATGTAATTGATGGCTGCAAGACCCACTTTATAGAAAGGAGGCATGAAGGAGAAAACTCCCAAGATCCTTCTGTTCCTATATTTGTAACAACAAATGAGCCTTTCTATGGATAGGAGTTAATGGCTAGAGTTCACATCTGCGCCCCACTAGGGGGCGCCCCACAGCACATCCCTGCCGTGTATCTAGAATATCTTCCGATGATAATATTAGAAATGATGATACCATCATTGAGAGATGTTCCCAATACACGATGGAGATGTGCCGTGGCACATTATGGAGTGCAGATCTAGATCTGAACTCATAAAATACAGCATTATTAGATTTCGGAGGCATTACACTGTCCAACAGCTGAAATGCTATTTTCAGAACATATAAACAATAAACATGAACATTTTAAAGTAAATTTCTGACCAAAATTATATATACTCGTTTGGCGAATATGTAAACTCGTATTTTATTATTTTATTATGGATACATTGAACTTCTTTTTGTACAATCATGTGTGTCATGGATGACATAAGCAGTATATAAACTTAAACTGTTGTGAACAAATGGCTAACTTGTGAGAAAGGACAATATATTTCTATTGTTAGAGTAATGGACACAAGGTATATACATAAGTAGTGTTTGCATGGCATAACCAGAAGCTAACTCTTGTATGTTCATACTTCAGGTATACAAGTAAAAAAGATTAATTAGTGTGTCAACGGAATCCTAGATGATCCAGACAATTGGTCTTTTGTAAATTTTGTAAAGAAATATTTTAAATTTTAAATCAAACACGTGACCCACAAAACAAAGAAAGTAAAGCCAAGACACAAAGTAGGTCATGATTCACAAACACATGAGCTCCATTGCAAGGACTCGGCATGTGGGATTGTAGGCCCATATATGAAAGAAGCTAATAGGCCCTACCTTATTGAGCTATTTCTTCCTAAGGATGGAATATCTTTACAAAACCTTGCCACAAACATCAATTTCATAATTCATCATAAAGCAATAAAAGCTTTATAAAAGGGAATGATTATTTTGCTTGATTGACATAAAAAATGAGAATAAAGCCACCATACCATAACAGGTATCCATCCACCTATAAAATAAAGCTTTTCCAAGATTTGAAGTGATCTTCACGCAAAAACTAATTAAGCACTTGCAAATAATCTTCTTGCAGAAGTACGAGTGCAGTAGGTCCTTTCCAATGGAGTCCCAGATAGAAGATCTTTCCCACTAACTCAAGTGTGGAGTTTGGGTTCAAACAAAAGTAATACAAAATTAACCCACATACATATGAAGAAGGGATCTTGCCTCTGGTCCATGAATCCAAAGCTACGACAATCCAGAACATCAACACAAATATTGTCAAGATTTCCTTTGAAATTGGTGTTAATTAAACAACCAAATTTAATTTGCAATTTGTTTGATTTTGATTCTAACAACCCAACATATTCTATATACTGATTAATAGACAAAAAGCCCGTTAGCCTAATTTGCTATGAATTCACAAACTAGTCAATCTCGTTTCCCATAATGTCAAGAATAGCTGTATTTTTTAACAAGTTGGTCTAAACTTGTTTTAGCATATTGGGGATCATATAACATTTAGTAAAAACAGACCAAGAGGAAGAACAACTGTGATTATCACTCAGGGCTTGAAAATTGTGGCAATGTCCTATTGTGATTACCATGTCAAAGCAATCTCCAGGCAAAGAATTTAGATAGTTTAATTAAACACAGTGAAACTATAGAGAAGAGAATATATATTTGGATAAAATTCAAAATAGTAGGAAAGATCAATTCCTCCAATATAGATTTAACTTTAAGATAGAGAATAATGGCAATCTCCAATTTTATAGAAAAAAAATAATAATAATAAAGCAACTGAAAAGCAGAGACAGAATATGAATGATAACCATGTTAGCCAAAAAATGATAAATATGTTAGAAGATCATCATCTATGATCATAAGCAATGCCATGCCGAAGCTGTTATCAGATATCTATCTTGCCACCCAAGTGAAAGTGCCTTTCCTTCATCTCTCTCAAAAACTCTGAACCCACCACCTCCACCTAGGTGAGAACAGTGGCTCCTAATTTTCAGAAGCAGCTTCGCTTGGATCAATGACTTAGAGCTTAGATTGAATCCCTTAAACCCATGACTCTCCATCCTTCCTTTCCATGTCTCTAACCTCTCATGTCTCTGATAGTTCTCATCATCTTTCTCACAGTAAATCATTTTCTTTATTTCTTTACCCAGATGGTTCTTCTCAATGCTCAACCTCATGGAACTCTCTCGTGGGAGGCAATCGTCCAACGAATCAAACATGGCTGCAAAATAATTTAAAGAATCTATAAATCTGGACAAGAAGCTACGTGGGCTTTGGCTACTTTCTTGTTCTACCAGTATAACAATGGAGGGATTAAGAGAATATACAGACTTTAGAGTATCTGAAATCTGCAATGAAGTTGTGAAGGTGTGGAGATAGAAGACCATGTTCACTGCAACTGTCTCATTTTCATCCTTCCTTGGACTGCAAATTGGTATAGAATCTCTTAGTAACCCTTGAAATTCAAATATAAGATTGTGGAAACCCTTTGCAAAGTTCACCAGTCTGGTTTCAGTTTGGATCAGTTCCTCCAAGCTTGTCGAATAGCCGGTAATATGAAGAGAGATTTGATTGTCACTGGTTGCCTTCTCTGAAAGAGACTGAATTAGAGAAGGCCACTGGAACCCATTGGAGATGTTGAAATCAATTACATGTAAACTTCTGTTGTTCTGCTCTTCCTCCTCTTCAAAGGCCTCAATGATTGCCTGGTTTGCTGTGAAATGTGCAAATTGGTAGTAAGGAGATATCCGGTAGAACTCTGTGAAGGCCAAGAACTGTTCTTCTGTTGTGGGTTCTTTCATGATCATGTTGAAAAAGGGAGACTTCCGGGTTAGAAGTTTGGCAGCCAAACCATCAGCAAAATAAGCTGCAACCCTTTGCACTGAATTACCTGTCAATGATACAATTCTGTATAATTCAATCACATCCTCCATGGCAGAATCAAATTTGTTCTTATCAACTTCAGTGGCTGCAGATATGAGCAATAAATGGATCAAATGGAGACCCTTGTCATCCTCCACTGACTCTTCCTTCTTGGGTTCTGTTCTTAACATTTGTTCCCTCATGTGGAGGAGTCTAATCACCTTACCTTCATAGTCTTGACATAATTGCAAAGAACTTGAATCATCCCATCTCTTCCGTTTGCTCTTCCCACTGGAATCATTTGCAACGGCAAGCCCAAGGTTCAAAAGCTCTTCATCCATGTCTTGCATCTTGTAGAGGGAGAGAGAGAGAGAGAGAGAGTCTTATAAATGAAAGAAAAGGGAGATAAGCTAACGTTGGGTATTAAAGAGAGGAGATGGGATGGGAATAATTCATGTAAAATTCCTTTTATGTGATCAAATGGGAAAAGAAAATATATAGAAAATTTCTCATTCAAACTGAGAATATAAGAAAGAGAAGGAATCTTTTGATTCTTTGTTGTCTAGGGGTCGAGAAAGTTTTTCACCTTTTTGGGTAGTTCGAGGAATAATGGGAAAGGCTTGTCTGTGACTTTGGAATGGCTAGCTCAAAAGATGCTATCAATAATGGGAAAGCTTTATTTATTCTAATTCTAGAAGACGGACAAATCCTCTACGGATCTCTTCTCCATCTTTATTCTCCGTCCTTATACTTTATATATTATTGCCATCTAAACCTTTGTCTTTTTTAACTTTTTCCTTTTCATGGAAGAAAAAACGGAATCAGCTTTGGATTCGGGAATTATTCAACTTCTGAACGGCAGTTGACATGAAAAAATACCTCATAATTCTCTCCAACAATGGTCTCGGACGCCTCTTAAATCCTAAATTTTAAACCTTAAATCACCCTAATCTTTATTCTAAACCTTTAAACCCTAAACCCCTAAAATTTAAAACCTAATTTTAAACCCTAAATTTTAACTGAAAAATGCATTTGATCAGATACAATTCCTCCCACCAGATAGGAGCTAATAATACCTTAAATAGATTTATGATTTCCATATTAATTAAATGGTGACCAAAAGGAAATTTCCTTCTCACAAAATTGTATAGATGTGAAAGTACCGGCCAAAACTGCAAGTAAAGCTTACATGTCTCTTTAAGTTAAAAATCCAAATTAATGTTCTTGGGCTTGGTTCACAAATACTATTTTGTCACACCCCTCAAGGTCTACTACATTCTTCTATTAAGATGTACAGGGGTGCAACATGGGCGGGCTTGGGCTGGGGTTTTGTCAAAATTTGAATGAGCCCATCTTAGAATTGGGTACCCCTTGTAAGTTCTGATCTCTCTCTCTTCAACAATTTAACATAATAATAATGGATTAATGGGGTAGAGCATTTGATTAGATCAAATGAGCAATATTCTCATATCATTACGTAGATATTTTCCCTTCAAAGAATTCAAATAAGCATCAATTAGATGGAAATTTCTAGACATCGTAGCTTTTGTCATTTTTTTTAAAACGCAATCTCTCAGATCACAATTTCAAATTTTTAATTTGAGAGGTAAATTAAAATTTATAACTATTTCCATAGAGGGGAAAAAGAAAAGGAAAATGATAACTGGTGTGGTTGACTCGATCCATAAATATGTATGGGTTCTTTGATATTTGACACTTTGAATAGTTCAACTGTCTATTTCTCTCTAGTTTTCATATTCAAACACTGCATTTGTTAACATCCTTTTTCTAAAAAAAGTTATTAGCTTATATATTTGATGAATCAATTTTTTATGCTAAGTACCTCGTCATTTGGTCTACTTCCAAGTGGCCGATGATTCAGAGGTTGAATTGAACTTTTGCTAGATGAGGACTTGGATGTCGATCTGATCAGGCCGAGCTGGGGGCAGATTAGGTGCCGAGCTAACTGGGCCGAGCTGGGCAGGTTAGGTGACGAGCTGACCGGGCCGAGCTAGGCAGGTTAGGTGACGAGCTAACCAGAGTGCCAAGCTGACCACAGGGCCGAGCTGCCTATTAGTTGTTGAGCTGACCAGAGGGCCAAGCTGCCTGGTGGCGAGCTGGATTGATTGTTGAGCTTCATAGTTCTTTAGAGACCTGAAAGGAATCAATGTTAGAGGACCCGGGTTTGCTAGCTCGGCGAGGTCGCTCTGATGCTTAAGTCAGTACTCTCATAGTAGACTACGAGCTAAAAATCACAAAGTATGAGAGCTAGAATATGTTTACTTGCCCCCCTCATGTCATTGGGGTTGGTGCCTTTATATAGGCATTGTTTGGCATGGGCTTTACGCACCATACCCGAGATTTCCGAGAGGTCACCTAAGTGGTCCGAGATTCCCTGAGGCAACCGCCATGCACATTGATCACCCTCCGGATCGTTTGGCACGTGGGCCAACTTCCAAGGATAGTGGGAGTGTTAGGATATGCATACCAAATTTGTTGACGAGCATGTCTCGTAGGTCACCAGGTCGGCGCCTGTGCCCGGTCGCCAGTTCGGCACCTGGGCCAGGCTGCCAGTGGGACACCATCAACTCAGCTAAGGCAAGTTGTTGCCTAAGTGGTTCCGAGTGTCACCTAGTTGTTTCGAGGTGCCATATGCCACAATATCATTGGAGGGCCAAATCCACCCTCATCAATATTTATAATTCAACTCCATTATTATCATCGACCTTGTTGAGTACGTTTAATTGCCTAGTTTATTTAAAACATTTTCAAGTTATTTGAAACTTTTAGTCAAATTTAAACTTTGGTTATTGTGGAAAGTTCAAAAGGAATAAGTAATACTCTGAAGAGTTTGAAGAGTACTAGCATTTGAAAAAGTTTGACCCAGAGAAAGATAACACTAATCTCAGTACATTCAACTTCAATTAATATTTATTTAAAGCCAATCCAATTAATAAGGCGACCAAGGTTTTTTGGTTTATAGTTGGTAATTGGTTTGAATATGAGTCTACCACAATCCAATCCCATATAATCTTATCCTATCAAATACATATTCATATCCATACTATTTTAAAAAGCATGAATGGCCTCAAGAATATTTCTGGAATTTTTTGAGGACAAAATTTACCCCCTCTATATTTAAATTTATTGATAAAAATGAGGGAAAATAGGGTAATTGGTTATTGATATTAAATGAGTTGAAAAGAGGTAATTTTAAGATATTCAATGCATTCAATTCCCTCTCATTAAATCCAACATTTAAGTTATTAACTTGTATTCATGTTCATTGAATCATATATTTAAGTCATTTTGTTTCTTCTCACCACTAAGTTCTATTAATTAAATTCATACTTAATAAATTAATAATTTTAATAACATAAAAAGTTTATACTTTTAAAATCTACCTTGGAAATATAGTGTTTTCATCTAGGTGGTGGTAAAAAACTAAACAATTTTGGGTCAATCCATGTTGCCATGATTAAATAATAAAATAAAAAAATGGATAAAATGAAAAAAAATAGAAACTAAAAAATCAGGAACACTTTTAAAATAATATTAAACAATAATAAGTATGATAAATAAGAAATGTTTTTATTAATGATGGAAATGGAATGTAAAATTTAAAACCAATTGGAAATAAAAAAACTTTCTTATTCTCTTTTATTAAAATCTATATTTAAAATATATTTTTCTCATCATTAAATTCTTGCAATTAAATCCACAATATTAATTTTAATGGTATAAAAATACATATTTTGAAAAGTAATGTGAAAATATAACCATTTTCTTCCCTCCCAGTGGTAGGCAAACAATTCGACCATTTGAGGTCAAATGGATTAATAAATAATGTCATAATTAAATAATAAAAAATAAAATAAATAGGTATGAAATGTAAGAAGTATTTTTATTAATGATGAAAATGGAATGCCAAATTTAAAATCTACCTAGAAATGAAATGGTGCCAATAGTCAAATAATAAATTTTTAAAAAATAGAAAATACAAAGAATCACAAAAAAAGAAGATAGAGAAAAATTTGGGCACATATCTAATATTATATATTTATAAAAAGTAAAATATTAGGTACATCTCTAATATTATACGTTCATTAAATTGAACAAAAATAAGTATTATACATAAGAAATAATTTTATCAATGATGGAAATGTAATACAAAATTTAATGTCAACCTAGAAATCAAACTATTTTTCTTTTTGGGTGGTGAATTAGTGGCTTGGGTCAAATGATATCATAGACAAACAAAAATTAAGTGTGATAAGTAAAAATTATTTTATATAATATAAATGAAACATATAATTTAAAGGGAAAATTATAGTAAAAGCCGGTTGTACATTTAAAATTAGGTTGCAGGTTGGTCTAGAAACCAACAAAGATTTGACAACCAGCTCTACATTTTAAATTATAAAAACCCTCGCCATGTCATCGAAGACTTATGTGGCTATTGCGAACATGGGACTCTTAATCCATGTTAGACTCAACAAAAAACCTATATTGAAAATAGGTTTTTAGTTTCTCTCCCACTCCCTTTATCTCTTGATCTCCCTCCCTTTTCTCTCTCACTCTCATAGTCATCTCTCGATTTTCCGCTCCCTCTATCTTTCCCACTCTCTCAACTTCGATTTGTAGCCAAATTAAAACCTCTCTATCTATCTCTCAATCTATCGTTCTCCTTTAGTCTTTCTCCCACTCTCCTCTTTCGTTCTTTTTTTTTTTATTTTTCTTACAAACTTATATAATATTAATCAAACCGTATAAAAGAAATAAAAAGACCAACCACTTATACAATCAAGTTATAAATTTTTATCAAGTTGGTGTAAATTTCATAGCTAAGAGTTTCTTGTGAATTTTTATCAAATTGGTGTAATGATTTTTGAACCATACCAAATCGGTCTCATGTTCTTTTATGCGATCTGATTAATACCATATAAGTGTGTAAAAAATAAAAAAAAAAGAACGAGAGAGGGAACGGAAGAGAAAGAGAATGAGAGAGATTGAGGGAGAACAATAGGTAGAGAGAGAATAAGAGAAATTGATAGAAAGAACGTAAATACATAAACCAAAAACCATTTTCATTTATTTTCAAATCACATAGTTGTTGAGAAGAGAGAGACGATTGTGAGAATGTGTGTGTGTGTGTGTGAGAGAGAGAGAGAGAGAGAGAGAGAGGGAGGGTGAGATAAACTAAAAACCTTTTTTTTTTTATTTTCCAATCACCCAACATTAAAGGGCAATTTCGGTATAAGCATTTTGTTGTGTCCAACATGGATTAAGTCCCATGTTGGCAACAACCACATAAGCCTTTCAATGACATGGTGGAGGTTTTTAT